CTTTACCCCAGAGACCAGAGTCATTACGCCTTGGCAACACAGCGCGTAGCGAAGAAGACAGGAGCCCGTAAACAAGAAGAATTTGGGCTATGTTAAATCCAGTGCTGCCCTTAGCTCTCCGGCCGAAGCATCTAAACAAACAAGATAAGCACTCTCTCTCGGTGCCCCAACATCAATCTCACGAGTCTCTACAAAACCGCACTAACAGTTAAGTGAGCTGTCACTGGATAACAGGGGGTATCTGAGACGCAACGTTATCCACGAAGCACTTAGCAGGAATGTTCTTCATTTGAAGATACTAAAGCAGGCTTCATATATGATGAAAAAATTCACTTATTCCTGTTGGTGTACTTTGAGTGAAAAGAGTGCTCTAAAGAGCATAAGTTCTCTATTCAGTAAATATGTTCCTTAACACGGTATTTCGTGATTGCGTCATGAAGCGTTTGTGTGAAGTTTGGGCACTGCCAAGCTAACTGTGTGAAAATGCCACTTACTTGTAGCGCTTCAAACTCGTCGAGAGATCGCAGCACCGGCTGGAAGTGCACCAAATGCCGTTATGTGCTCGTGTTTTGGCCCTTTCTCTAAAGTGCTCTTGCATATTTATCCGTACGCTTCAGACGTCAACTTGTATTCACATACTCGGCCATGGCGTTATTCTTAACTTATTCGATAGCACGTCCTATATTTGCCATAATTAGTAAGTGGAGGAAACGCGTCCAACTTCCTTTATTATGTAGCACAAAATGTACTCCGTGATTTGGACTCGCACAGCTTGCTAATCATTGTTTGAGGGCCAATTGCCGCTCACTCGATTTGTAAATCGCGTTCAGAGACGACAGATCCGAACAGCTGGACGATTATTTTTCACTGGCCTTGAACGCCACCTGGCCTGAGGACTGGCAGGATTTGAATGAAGTTGTTATGGCTTTACGCATGCCTAAATGACCTTGGAATAGTCTGCACATCTTCACCAGCGTACAACTCAGAAACTAGCGATGTTAGGTTTTTAGAATGGCGGGGTTGTGAGCTGCACCGAATTATCTTCAAAATGACCATGTTGGCCGTATAAGCTTGTCGAATCTGCAGCAGGTTCTGCGATCGTCTGGTGCTGCAAACTAGCAGTGCCTCTTTTGAACTATCCACCTGCACTTTGCAGGCCTGTGGGCTTAAAAGTAGCATTTCTAGCCCGCAAAAATTGACATGTGCAGAATCTGCGACAGACTATGTAGCCAATCCGCAACGTTGTGCTGGCCTCAAGGTAAGTGAAACAGCGATGGTTACAAATGACATGTTTTTCTTGGGAACTTTGCGGTCATGGTTTTGAGCGTTTTAACTGTTTTAAGGCCGCATGCAAATGGTTGCAAGCACGCGAAATATTTTAGCATCGACTTTACATTATACCAGTACTTAACGATCACGTGTGTTTTACAAGCATGGAGCGTGACCCCAAACTATCACGCGACAACATCATGCAACCATTTCGTATGGACTTGCGTAACTAAGTCCAAAGCGTTGATCCATTTTCTTGCCATTAATCACCCACGGTCTGACCCAAGAAATCGGCAGCAATAGCCAGCAATCAATAGATGTTGCTGCGGTGAACATGTTCTCTTGAGATTATGTGACACTGGATGGTTACCAAACGGCGGTAATTGCTCTCTCACAAGGGTTGCTAACATCACCAGCTTTCACACAGTGCGGGAGGGGGGATAGTACGGCTGTCATACTAGCACTCGACTATTGCGATTGAAAAACAAAAATAAAAATGGGGTGGTAGCCGCGAACGATACCTGTACCTATCACGTGTAGCTTTGCGGCAGTTCTTATGGGTCACGTGTCAGATCCGGTGAAACGAGGCCTCCCTATGCTTTTATTGCCTATGCGTAGTTTTTTATGTGTCCACAGACTGAGGCCAAGCAACTCATCAGGTGCCAACGTTCGGTTTCAAATAACTATGTGAGGCGGCCTTATTTCATTCTAATATGCATCATGGCCTAGACCATGGATGACCCGGCACGTGCGATGTACATGTGCGAAGACCGCATTGGTGCACTGTGCGAGGACTTTAAGCAATTCTGGTTTCGAGTCTCGACTGCACTGTACTCGGCCGTGCACGACCCTATGTACCTTCAATGGCATACCTTGGTCCCTTTGACTCGCAGTATGGCAGATTTGAGGATCATTTCATGAAATTTTTCCCATTTGACCTGCTGCAGAACTCAAAACTTGTGGAAAGGTCACGAGCATTGATGACACCCATGATGTGACACTTTCTCAATCTCAGTGCCACTGGACGGGGAGGTCAGGTACGTACAGTGCCCAAAACGCGCCGCATGGTGGTAATTTCCCTTTTCCGCCGTAAATGTGGTGAGCGCGAGATAATAAGTCGGCCTAATAACACGTGGAACTCAAACAGGCTGCTCAGTTGTGAAAGGTTGTGACCTTGAAGGAAATGTCTCACATTTGAACATGTTAAGGCAAACATCAGATATGATGAAACAAGCTCACTTATAACTATTGGTACATTTTTAGGTGAAAATGCTACTCTACACAGCATCAGTCGCTGTTTAGTAAATATGCTTCTCGACGGTCGTTTTGTTTGGATTTCGCGCTCACGAAAGCCAGATATAAACGCCTCGACAGTTATATATGTCTTGGCCTTGATCGCCGCATGGCTCATGAAATGGCAGGATTTGGATGACGTTATTAAGACCTCATGAATGCGAAGGTGACTTTGAATTAGTCTCTCCGGTATACACTCCCCACTTTTGCGGGCCTATAGCTCGGGAACTGAAGGAGCTCAGGCCTTTAGAAGAGCAGGATTGTGAACAGCACCGAAAGGTCTTGAAGATGGCGAGCTCAGTTCAAAACCCCGTATAAATGAGGATCACTCCCTTTAACTGCTGATAATTTCGTTGTGTGCTGAACAGTACGAGAGGCATCTCAGAAGACCCAGGCGGGCACACCATGACGTACCCTGGCCTGGCAGAGGTTAATACCACCGGAATCATCGTTTTCACTTCAAAGAAAACAGGTTCGCGTAGGGGTCTGAAAAACATATACTGATTACATCTTAACTTACGATACATGTCGAGCTACTTGGAATGCAATGGAAAAGTTACAGGCGTGCCATTTTGCCATCAAACATCTGCATTCAGAAAAGGTGTTAAAGATAATGAAGATGTCTTTATACTTAACATAATCCGCAGGGAAATCCCTCTTGGCAGTCGTATCCTCCGTGTATGCCATAGACATGTTCCAAAAGAAGTTACCCATGTGAAAACATTAAATTTCGCTCGAAACCCTCGGGAAAAATATCGACACTTATCAAACAAATTTCGGAGAGCAAAGTCTGAAACAAAATATCGTGTTTTGAACTTCTTCCTTAGCACTTTGGACTGTCGATGGCATACTAAGATGACAAAGAAGTGAACTAAATCTGAATAACTGACTGTCTAACACTGACATGCTGCACTCTCTCCTGCACTTATTTATGGCCACGTTACCGCTATGGTGTGCCCACAAACATATATTATACCCATACATATTCTGGCTATTACCAGCAGCGGATGCAGGACCTTGAGAGATATTACGGTTTGTGTGCAGCACAAGCCCTACAATATATCAGACGCTGAGCGCTTCGATGTGTCTATCCAATCTACAAGCCATTAACAAGCCAACCCCACACGACAAAAGCCATCGTGCTCGCCTTTGGTAAAGCTATCCCACGACAGAGTTTAAGGTTAAAACTGATGTACCGCTGGGTTGAGTTTGCGCTATGCCGTGTGTTGCAGCTTTTTGTACTTGCTGGAAAATGGGCATTTTAGCGTCGTTTCGAAAATGGCGAGCATGGGCGATAGCTCCGCAGGTGCCGCTTTGAGTGATGTGAAACCTGCACATTTCGACGGAGAATTGGGCTGCCGAGAACATGGCGCGACGTCAAACGTTTTAAGCACTAGGCGCTGCGTGCCCGCGAACGCTGAAGGAACTATTTGCTATTGTTCACGGTCTAAAGATTATTATACCGTGCCTTCACAACCAGCATAGATGAAGACCTGAACATCACGCCAGATTGTGCAACATGATCTTTTACATGAATTATTGCACTGTCTTTACCTTGCAGTACAACTCTGGAGACCAACATTTATACCCTGGACGATTGCTGATTTTGCCTTAGTAAACAGAGCGTGAGCTCAATGTAGAAGGATGCCTCAAATGATGCTTCAAAGTCATTCATCTTTACTGCTTTGCTGTGCCTAATCAGCTTCGATGCATGTCTAGGTGACGCGAAACCGGACAGCGCTATTGAAATATTTATCACAGGTTCGAATGATTACTATCTGCATGGGTTTACAGCTGTTTTTTGAAACAAATAAAATGTGCTTTTCAGGCATTTAAAACAGCCAGCTCTCAACACGTAAGTATGAAGGAGGGCCTATGAAAGGAGGGCCTATTGGAGGATGAAGGGGTGGGCTATTATCCGTCAATTTCCGTAAAAGTAACACGCGATTCAACCCATGATGCCGCATGAAACACTAGTTTACAGACCACCTTTGTTTCCCATGACCCACCTGCGTCCTTGGGAGTCAGTACATCACACGCATCCCTGCCAGGCATTCTGACAGCCAGAGGTCGGGCCGGCACGGGCATTCTACGAGTTGTGTTGAGTGCATCTCGAAATTTGCACACACAAGCCGTCCACGGAAGCTTCGTCGCTTAGCTAAGCAAGCCCGTAAGCACTTAATAAATACTATATCGCCCAACAATGGCTTAACTGCAAATAGCTGCCTGTCGCAAAACAGGTGTAACCAGCCGTTACTCCAAGGCATTGGAAGCTCGTGAAAAGCGAGGCTAGTGTTTCTCCTGCATCCGACTTGACCCTTTGACCCAGAGCCTCTGCACCCAACTCGACCCGGTGACCCAGGGTGGGTAAGTCCAGTCGACGGTCAACTCCAGAGCACCACCTGGCTGATGGACCAGGGCGACCCTCCGCTGCTCACTTGGCGGACGGTTCGGGGGCCTCGTCGGCTTCTCGGAGCTGGTCCGCCAACGCCACCAGCGCCGCTTCGTCCAGCTCCTCCTCGTCCAGCACCCTCAGCCGGCCCGACTGGGCCAAGAACTGCTGATAGTAGCCGGTCGCCAGCTGCCAGAGAGACGGGTGACATCAGCAGCACGATGTCCCGGCCGTTCAGCGTCGACAGACAGGGCCAGGTGCACCGAATGTCCATCCTCCCGCCGTGGTGAGCCCACTCGAGGCAGCCGCCGCTACCGGGGCAGCGGCGCCCACAGTCGACGGCCGTTGCGGCTTACGGACAGGTGAGAGTTTCTGACTCCCGCGGCTTACAGAGAGAGCGACAGCTGCCTACTCCCGCGGCTTATAGAGAGGGCGGCAACTGCTTACTCCCCCGGCTTACAGAGAGGGCGGCAGCTGCTTGCTCCCGCGGCTTACAGAGAGGGCGGCAGCTGCTCACTCCCGCGGCTCACAGCGAGGGCGACAGCTGCTGACCTCCGCCGCCTACAGGGCGGACCACGACACTTCAGGCATTGATCCCTGCCGGTTACAGAGCGGCTGGGCTGGGCGGCCGCTTGATCCCGCCACCGTCCGGCGGAGATAGCGGTCGAATCTTGCCGCCACCGTCCCCCTGGAGCAGTCTTTAAGGCGTGTTGGGAGCGGTTTCGCGCCCGTTAAACATAGCCGTGTTGGCAATATCAGTCGGCTGAACGGTCATAGTCAAAGTCCAAAATTACCAGAATGTTAATGAAGTGTGTTGGCCTTACAGAGTGCGTGGTGACGATATCCGTCTTAAGCTTCTGCTTCATTGTAATTTTTAACAAGTTATTTCAGTTCATACATAATGTATGCTACTTTATTGAGATCTCAGCAGCGTTGATATACGACTTGTCTTTAGCATAATGAGGCTGTCGTAGGATAATGTGAAGAGCAACATGCACCAGCTGTCCGGTCTGCCTCAGGCTTGTTCAAATTACGTGAGACGAATTCAGCTATCTTTTACTCATGTGATGCCGTTGATGACGTGGTTTGGTGTACAATTATTCTATGGTTAGGCCCAGTCATTTAGGAGAAAACGGTAATGTCAGATGGCTTTGATAGAAAACTTTGTTTGCTTTGCATAGCGGTTTTCCCAGTCTACGTGCTTTGATTGCATCTCCGTAAGTTGCTTAACGCTCAGTTCCGAGCCCATGACAACAGTTAGCATATGTCGTCAACACTAAACAGCCCGCCACCCGACTTTGTCCCGCTGGCGTGCCCGCCCGTCTTAAGCCCGCCCATTGGTATGACACGGGTATGCGATGTGCTTGCTGAAATTCAGTGGTTCAGTTGTCATGAAAAGTCATAGAGCACTGCTTTTTCATTTCTGCATTGAACATGCCACGTGTGTGGTTCCTTGCGTACCTTATCACACAAATTAAATTGCGTGATAACAGATTCTGCCTTTTTCAATTGTTTTTCCGTTCAAATCCCTCACTTGCTTCACCGTTCCGTTCATCTCATTATCTCCTCCTTGCCTTCCCGTCAGTCTTTCACGCTGGTAGACCTTTCCTCCCTTTGCGTTTTCAGTTCCACGCCGTCTACATTTGAAGCCGTCTAATGAAGACGTCCGTGTGTCATTCCGTGTGTCCTTCTTAAACTAGGCTATGTCGATAAAGCTATCCGTTTCTCGTCTATCTGTTTCCTTCATTTCTGGGTTGCTCATTCTGTCTTTATCCCGGCCCAACGCTTTCATTCTCCTCGTTTTTTGTCTATGCGTCTGCTTTTATGCGTAGTGACTCCTTTTTTTGAAGCTGCCTGCAAGCCATCTCGCCCAGAGGGAAAAATATCCAAGCGGTCAACCGGGAGCGTGTTAACACCGCTCAAAAAGGTTCAATTAAGTTTGCATATTTGTGTGCATTTCGCACATACCTACCACACACAACCATAAATACTAAACCGCAAGCATTGTCATTCATTTGTGCGTTGAAGTGCGGCAGTTAGACGTCATTTCAAACTACGGTTAACGGTTTTTCCAGTGGTGCGTTGAGCTACATTTGCGCCAATAGCCCTGCCAAAACCTCAAGACCATTGACTTCCATCAATAGTCTTGAATGCGCCACGTACACTCCACTGAGCAGACCACACCGCTGCAGGGCTCGGTACAGTGTAAAAATTACCAGCAGATGGCTGCTGTCACGCAGCCCGTACACATCAGTTAGGGAGCAAAAAATAATTGATCTCGTTAATAACGTCGTAGGTCGGGCCAGTTCTGATCACTTAAGATGCGCTCGATTGCCCATAGATCCAAACGTTGTCGGAAAAATGGTGCCACGCGTCACGAATTGAGCTATCAGTCTAACGATGCAAAAATAGGTGGGTATTAGATGATGGGTATTCCAGATGGGTATTAATGAAACTGCAATGCGAGTGCCGCTTGCCAAGCCGCAGTGTATTGAAAGTCACCGCCAGTCTCACATATCTCACTTGCATCGCAACAGCTGAAAAATCGCCTTGCGGCCAGATGCATTGTCATGTCCAGATATTTTTCAGCACTTTGCCGTCTAATTTGGAGCACTGAGAGTTGGCTAGTCGAAACAGCGAATCGGCCGACCGGCCAAGCTATAGGAATATACTGGTTTGTCGCCGACCTGTCGCCGAAGCGAGTGACCAACTAAAAATAATAGGATGTTTTCGTCGCCGGGTTTGGGATGGAGCCTTGGAAAGGTACCATGGGGCTGTGGGGTACCGCAAACGGAAAGGCTTGTTGGTGTTGTGGGATGAAACGTATTACCATTGAAACCCTATGTAAGGCTGTGGATGGGCGCTGTAATATTTTGTCGTGGCCGTCACCAAAACTGTTGTTCAAAAGCAGTTGTGGCACCAAACGTGGCGTAAAAAAGCCATTTTTGTCGCCGGCCTCACCCAAGTTTTACCACCCCTGCCGCAGTGCTGTAAACTGTACCGAATGATCTTCAAGATTGCTATTTCGGTTCAAAACCCCATACAAATGTGGAACACATCTTTAAAGCGTATGCTCATGTGGCGATGACGCCAAAAGTGTGGAATTTTCCATCCTTTTGGGGGCATCTGGTCACCCATTCTATGGGTTCGAATTTTACCGTGTGACTTTCACAAGTGTTATCGCTTTAAGAGCCGGCCCCTGTGCCGTGCAGTCTGCTCATGTACCCATCAGCCATTTTCGAAAATTCCACCTATGTATACCATGGGGGCAAATACAAGGCGACGAACATGGGTAGACGGTCGTATACATTTCTACCACTGACATCAATTAAGACAGCATATAGCGCAAGGTTCAGCCTAAAATACTGGCGGCATGATGCCGGGTCGAATCTTCTGTGCCTGCACATGCACATGCCTGAGCAGATTTCTTTCCGAGAGGTAACTTGAAAACGCAACCAGGCGAAGGATCGAACCCTCTAATAATCTGAGCCCCGAATACACGCCGCATGCCGCTAAACGTATGCCGTCCACACTTGCGGGGCGGTGGCGCAGCGCCGCATCCCTGCCTTGGCACGCCGCCCCGCAGTGCTCTGGCGTATTCGGACGACGTCGGCAGCCTGCCATTCCAGGCGGCGGTGGCCGCGGCGGCCTGAACTCGCGCTGCGCCGCCGACTCGGCCGATAAAGCAAGGTTACGCTCGGCGGTGCCGGAAGCTGCCGGCGGCTGCCGCGCTGGCGATGGTGGACGCCGGCCACGTGGCGTTTTTATGATGCTGTTGCGCCAGCCACCGGAATCCCGCGGGACGCCGACAGGCTAACTTGCCCCGACACGTATCACAAAGAGTGACGGCGTTGGCGCGAAATGTAGTTTACTGTGACGGGGGACGACGACAAGCAGCCCAGAGGACACGAGACGGCCGTACAACAGCTCAGGACTGCAAACTGTGAACGTGTTCTCTAGTCTCATGCTGTTAGGCGGTCGTCGCGCTGGAGTTTGGGAGCGAGCATGGACCGGTCGCGTCACGTGAGTCCGCACGCCTGTCACGTAGTGGCACGCAGATGTCCACTCACGAATGCCGGGTTCCCAGACAGGGTAAGGGAGCGGATGTTCGGCACGGCCGTGATCAGGGCAGTAACTGCAGCCGGACCGCGTATGTCGTTGTCGCACAGATCCAGCACTCTCAGAGAGGACAGGCTGCCGCTGAGGATGACAGCCAGCTCCTGAAGACCATCTGGAAAAACAGGAACGAGCCAGGAGGCATTAGATACTGCTGGCGGGCGGTGCGTCGCTTAGTCCATCATACTGGCGGACTGAACTGTTAGTGGATCACGCAGACTCGCGTTGTTTGATTACACAAGCCCCACGGATAGACGCATTAACACGCGCTCGAGTAGGCGATCAAGTTGACCCTATTGATAACAGAAATCGCATTATGCATCTTACATCGACTTCTTTGATATCGGAATAGGCTACTGGCCTAAAATGACCCAGGTGACAGACCTTAAAATATCTTGGTTATCGGGATACTTTGGACAAAAACCGGGAGTTTGACCGTGTTTGACCTTTTTTGACCTGAAGGTCATGACGTAGGAACCTCAAATTCGGACACAAGTAATATGACGTACAGGATAGTGCACCCTGTGCGTTTAGTGTTTTTAGCTCCCTTAGTTTCTGAGATCTCAAGTATGTTAAATTGTCCCTAACAGAGCAAAAGGTGTCCAACAGGTCACCTGAGCGCGTGTTAACATAACCACTGCAAATGCCGACCAGTGATAAATATTATGCCAGGCATAAGGAAAAACGATAAGTTTTCCATATGTCACGTGTCAAATATGCACGTCACAACCGTATGTCGGCCAAGTTATGATATCTGGGACCATTATACACAAAGCAGATCATTCAGTCAATTATATTAGTGCTTCATCCCCTGGATTTTACACGCTTGTTTGCATCTTAATCTATAGAGACTTATTCTCCAATTCATTTGGCCACACAGCCTATGGCGTCGGTATACTTGACTTACCCAGTCATACCGCATCGTACCGTACCCAGCCATATCACATCAATCACACCACGCCGCAATACGGCCCCGGCAGCTCGACAGTAGCCGATAATTCCAGCAAGCCCCAGCACGGTCTGTCGCTGGGAGCTGGCCCCAGCACAGCCTGTCGCTCGGGGCTGGCGCCGCCGGTCCGGTGGGCCACCCTACGCGAACGTCCCTACTAGAGACGCAACTTTCTGCAGAATATCAGCCTGTGGGCAAGCCCGCCCCGCCTCGCTAGTGACAAGCCAGTCCGTAAAAGCCCGCCACCCTACAATGCTGATGCGCCATTAACCCCCAAGTCCAAATTTGTTGCAACATGCATGTTGTCATTTCACTTTAATTTTAGATTTATGCACTAAAGTGTGCATGAAAACATGCAGATGTTATAGAATGTATAACATTGTTTGCCTAACACTAGCGATGTTGGTCAGAAGGCAGCAATCAAAGTACGCGCACAATGGATTTATAATGCACCAAAGTGGATCTTAAAATACAAATGAGAAAGATGAGTTTGAAAATTGTAATTGTCTTTCACAAAAGTGCTTCAAAGATTTCACCACGCTACCTCATCTCAATACACTACAGATATTTTCCTCTCGTACTGCATGCCTCAACCGATAGCTTTGTAGTGACAGTCTAAAAAAAATGCTGGATGTTTCAAGCCATGGGAAGCATCAGCTCATTGCCATGCATATAAGCTCAAACATCGTTCGGCTGTGTCCCAGTTGCCACAATGTCATGTTTATCATTTAACAGCCAGAGCCAGCCTCTTGTGTGGAGTTTGCCGTTTTTAAGTGGATGCAGCATTTGACCACACCACAAAAAACTGCATGACAACTTTCAACCAATCCGCATTTCTCTCTTATCACTTTTCACGTTCCAGCCCACAATAGTCGCTGCGCCGCTTGGGTCGTTCAAAGCAAGAAAGCGATAATATTTTTCCCACGAATATTTGCCGCTCTAGTGATATAATTGACACTTAGCAACGTCATAAAAGCAGTGATATATTGTTGCATTTGCAGTAAAACCTCTATGAAAACAATATAATTTTAAAGATAATTTCGTGAGTTTGTTCTAAAACACACAAAGCTTGCAGACTGCTACTTTCGATATTTATCAAATGCCTCATTGATGTCATGTGTTGAGGTTTTTTCGCACAGAGCTGCATGCCTATACAAAAAAAAGAGAAATGAACAAATCAGACGGAACAAAAGCCTTCGTGACAAATATGTTGGAAAATAGCAACAATTGCAAAGGACGTACCTAATTGCTATTCAGTGAAATAGGCTACAGTTTTGAAAATTTGGCTGCTATTCTGGAATTTTCAGCGAGATGTTTGCTTAAAGACATTCTGTTTGTGCAATCTGGTTTACTGGCGTGTCATGTATGTCGTGGGCTTTCTATCACTGGTGCTCTTGCTGTAAGAAATACAAATATTTTTGTCTTGTGGTTGCGTCGTGTTTGGTAGCACACTCCGGTTTTGCTATGGTTTTGAATAGCAAGGAATAACAAAAAATATATCTTATTACCTGCTTAAATGCTTTCTCTACAAAAACGTGTCAAGTCTGACTCAAAACCCAGCCAAAGCCCCACAGGCTCCTGCGCTTCAGAGGGTGGCGGGATGGCGGGCTGAAAAGTAGCGTCTCTAGCCCTACCGTCGGTCAGCTGTACGCGGCCCAGCGCGAGTCGCTGCAGCGGCGGACAGCCGGAGGTCAGGTCGCGCAGGTCGCCCAGCTGGTTGCCATACAGCTGGAGCGTTCGCAGGCTGCGCGGCAGGTCGGCACCGCGCACCGAGGTCAGCTCGTTGCAGGCCAGTGACAAAGCGGTCAGCCGGCTCAGGCCGGTCAGCTGGTCTCCCAGAGCGGAGATCTGCGGCACGCATGGCGCCACAGTCAGCCGCCGGCTAGCCACACGAACACCCGAATGGACAAAGCCCTCCCCACACCACATAGACCAGCAGTATCCCGATGGAATGAGCCCTGACAGTGCCTTGGGTCTCGCCATGGCCAAGGCTGAATTCACAAGGCACGCTGATGTTGGACTACAGCATGCACGGGGATCAGGATTTCGCAGATGTGAACGTCACACGCAGTGCGGAAAACAGCTGGGCGGAAACGCTGTAAGCCACCGGACGAATTGTTTTGGCGCAACGGATAAAAACGAAGTAGCTCTAGTTCGGCTCAAGTGGGCACAGTTTTGTAATAGTAAGCGCCGTAAGTCATTCCAGAAAGTCCTGATCGATCGAGGCTCCTGGGACCGCTCTTAGTCCCGAGGCCAATCGTCCGAAGCTGTCCATGATTCCGTCTGACAAAGTGTTGGAGGCTGGGGAATTGGGAGGACGCGGCTTGAGTGGTGGTGCTCGTCGGCCCACCTCGAAGTGTTTTGGCAATATATCTATGCCAGGGCGTACGTTTCTTACTAGCTCATGGGTTTACGTTCTAAAGGCATGCTTCTCGAAAAAGAGCTGTAGATCAAATTATATCCTAAAAATTTCGATCAACATGACGTCACAAATTGTCGAACTGAGCCGGCTTATGGCTTTCTCTACCAGTTCCCTGCGGATGGTTGCTTTGTTAAACGGAGTTTTTCACGTTTACTCTTTATTTGTCTCATGTTCACAGGATATTGAAGCAAGCATCAGATGCGATGAAACAAGCTCACTTTTAAGTATCAGTGTACTTTTCAAGACGGAAACGTTGCTCTGGCCAACACAATTTCTCTGTTCAGTACATATGCTTTCCAATACGTCATTGTTCGATCACGCCATCGCGTCTTGCACAACTATGCTTGAGAGCCAATTGATGGCCGTTGTATTTGGAAAGCGTGTTTACGAACCCCAGATATTCGACAATTACGCGTTTATTGACCTTCCGCGCCGCATGGCCAAAGGCAGGGCGGGATTTGAATGACGTTATAATGGCGTCATGAATGCCTGGGTGGCCTTGGCTTAGCTCCCCGAAATAGGCTGCGCACCGTCGCGGGCTTTTAGCTGAGAAACTAAATAAATTTACTTATCAAAGGGAGTGTGTTTAGTCAAGTTGGAGTTTTTAACTGTGCACGCAGGATGGAAATGAGTTTCGATTAAAAAATGTTGGTGTCAATGGTTTCTGCCAATTCGCCTCCACTGACGAGATATTACCACAGCCCCAAGATTGTCTTTGGTTTCTATGTATGATCAAAGTTATCGTATAGCTCCCAAGAAAGATTCACAACCAAACACATCGACATCATTGAGAATGCTTCGTTAGATCTAACCAATGACTTTTCGAGGATGTCGTTTGTCAGCGCCGAGAGCGGCTTGCAAGCACAGCGATGACGGCGGCCATTATGCTGATGTTTGTCATTGTTGTTTACATTCAGCTGAGGGCTGCGGGTGTATGGTGTTGTCCGTTTGGTGAGGCCGGTCTGTTGATATTTACCTTGATTAATTCGTGTTGACCTACTTAACGTTGAGATGAGGCACAAGTAGTGTCGAGTCAATCGGCTGCACTAAGCTCTATGAAAACGTGATTATTCTACTTTACTTTGGCAGCGGCTGTAGACGGCTAAGATTCCTGCACCCTGAAGCTAATGACCGAATTTCGAATGCACGAGCAACGAATTCAGCGTCCGAAATAACAAGGCACATGCACTGAAATTGTCGCTGCGATGTTGCTGGCACGCCAGGCACGTTCAGTGTATCATATTTTTCCGTCCCGAATTACACAAGGGGTCTTTAAGTGCGTGCCGCTCCATACTGCCAGCGTTCTCCCTATACGCACGAGACCGTAGCAACCAAGATAATAGCCATGTCACTAGCGCGCAGCTACTCGCCACATATAAACCAGGGCATTTGTCCTTTCCTGTTCGCTGATTGGTTTATTTGTTAGCATTGCTTTATTCAAGCACAGACATCGATGCGATCGATTTAAGTCAATAACTAAAAACTTTTGCAAGACCAAAATGCGCATGTAAGCACCAAAATAAACCATAGGTTGTTGCAAAACTCCCCTTAGGCGTATATTTGGAAAATAAAAAACACTAGACACCTTCCCTTAACAAGCGAAAGGGCTGTGAACTGCACCGAATGATCTTTTAAGTGACTTTTTCAGATCGAACCCCCACAAACATGAAATGTTCCCTTTAACAGATAGTTTATGCTAGCAAAGCAATGCAGTTTTCAGTTCCTTGCATTATTCCTACAAAAAAAATTGGTCATGACATCAGACTGAACTCGGAATGCCTTTAGTGCCATAGCGACTGCTCCATGCGACGTCCAATTACAGTCTGCCAAATGTTCAGGGAGGTGAAATTTCTGGGCTATGGGCTATGGGCTATGCTGGTTCATCTAGTAGAGTTCTCGCATTATACTCAAATCATTAACTGGATTTCGTTCTACCAGGCTTATATCGTCCTCGATGTTAGCGGCAAACGCAGCAAGCAGTGCTGAGCGAGAGCTATAAGCCGATAACCACCCATGCGAACTACCCTAGACAAATTGCCGCAAAAATACGGAGCCGCTCCCGTACAACTACGTACGTTGAACAGTACTGAGAACTAGCGGGGAATGTACGGCGATGAAAGGAGTCCATATTGTGGTTTCTGCTCAGCATGGTCTTTGACAATCATCAGTACGATGTACATATCATTAGTAGTAGCTATATCCTCCCACCACACAATGCTTGGCGGTTCAGAGAGCCACAAATTCAAATTTGCCGTCGCTTTGATAAGCAAGTTTGACCAATGTTCCAAGAAGCTCTTTAAGTCCACAGTGAACTAGAATATTCTTAACCAAATTAAAATTAAAAGAAAATGATGAATTCCTATCGTCCGTGAAGCGCGTATCTAGTTTGCACACATGGCTACCACATAGCGTCGTCTTTCACCATCACGATATGCCGTAATTTGTCGTGCCCCATACTGGGAAGTCACATTCCCTCTCACCTTTTGTATTCCCAATTGCCTTATCTCTTCCCCTACGAGGGTCTCGCAAACCTCTAAGAATTTCTAACTTCTGAACTTGCTTTACCTCTAACTATACCTTTAAGAGCTTCTATGCGGTTTTGAGCACGGTAATTGGACTTCCTGGGCTCATATTGTTGCACATGATGCAGAGGTCGAGGTATTTACCTAGATGCCTACTTATCTACGAGCTTTTTCTTGCGGCCATGTCGGTGACTTTTATTCAAATGTGACAAATACCTTTTGTTCCTCAAAGAGACTAGATTCCAAACGTATGTTTAAGCTACACACACACACACACACACACACACATATATATATATATATATATATATATATATATATATATATATATAGGATTGGAGGAGAGATATAGGAGAGGATTGGGCCAGTTTTACGCCTATCGAGAAAAAATACCTCTAGCCGGTTTCACGGAGGGTAATCTGCTGAACAGCTTTTAAAGAGCGTTTTTAACATCTTCATGAAGATATGCTTGAAAAATATGTAATGCTCCGACATAGATGTTAATGCTCTCGTGCAATTTCATTGAAATGCAATAGCTACGTCACATGTCTCCAACTGAAAATAGCTTGATGATATGAAGCGAGACACTCAATAGCCATTTTTTCAGCCCCATGCTTTAGTTGACCTAACTTCTGGGAAAATACCATGCCTGACGATCAGCGTGTGGATCGGCTCAAGATGTTGCATGCTGGCAACACCGGTATTGTCTACATCGTTGCTGTGTGAAGCAATGCAGGCTTTGAGGATTATCTAATTGAAGGACCATTCATCGTGGATAGGGTTTAGGTACGCAAGCTCTGTAACCATTGCGTGCCTATGCACAGGGACGCAGCAAAAGCGGAAGAGTTAGTTTTGTCGCGTCTGGTCAGACATGCCAACGAATGTTCTAAAAATGGTTCGAAAAGTTGGGCAGGAAAGAATCTGGCATTACATCTGCCATCATAGGCGTAATCTTGCTTATGGCCAGCAAATCGGGATTTTACCAAAATTCAGGTTTTGCAAGCACATTTTCAAATGTTTGATAAAAATTTCTAGCCAAAAACGTGGCTACAAGTTGGGTCTTAAGAAAATTGACGATAGAAGCTTTTTAGAAGTTTTTTTTTAAATGTCTGCAACCTCATCAATTCCGAAAACGATTTTTATCACAAATAAAGGGCAAACAATTGCTTCATTTGATGCGGTCAGCCTATTCCAGCTTCGAAGAATCACCAAAGCCTGTTCCGAGTTTCAAGGGCTCATCAGCTAGCCAAACTAACTGTTGGAAACCGTGAAAGGCTTTCCTAAATTGCGCCATTTCAACCTTAATTCAACTAACAGGACCCGCGGGGCAATTCCTTCGTCAGATGCAATTTTCTGCTGCACGGTCTCAGCCGCCTTCAAAATATATGGAAACACGTTATAAGCATTGTATATCTACGCTGGACTCGGAGCATTCAATAGTTTGGGTCCGTACTGCAGGCAAGTAACTCAGACATTTCAAGGAATCCTGTTCGTAGACGTGTCTAGGGGCGTCACCAGTGGCAGGGTGGGGTTGGGGGACGGGTGTTTCTCCCGATGATTTGCGTGGCTCGCTTGGAGGCGGTGGCAATCCAATTTTGTTCGCTGTTTTCCCGGATGGCTGATGGGCTTTTTCCGTACGCTAAGATTTGGTGGTGTCCATGGATATAAATTGCTCTTTTACCCATGATTTAGTAGGTGTGTTTGCTGATATTAGATGCATTATACACCGCTTTTTCGTTTGGTCAGGCGTAATTTTGGTGGTCCAATGGATGATCTATTTTTCTTAAGATATGTATTCTCAATCCTGTGTATAGGCGGCACGCAGAGACGCAGCCAAGCGATTAGGGGAAGGGCTTGTGATGCCTAGTTCTCTTCCTCCTTGCCAAGATTGAGCGCATGTTTTT